TATCAATACTGGTTCTCCCAGCAATAGTAATACACCTAATCAATAGCAAGATAATTTTATTCTTTAAAGGATTTTAGTTCATTAAGTCAATAGTTATGGAAAAAACAATAAAATTTATAAACAATATTGTTTCAAAGAAAAATTTTCACATGGCTACAATAGTAGCAAAATTATAGTTTTATCACAGGAAAATAACCTTATGGATTAGATGAAATATATATAATCTTAGGCTAATTATTTGATGTGAACTATAAAAGCAGAAATTTCAATTAACTTAACTGAACCTGTGCTATCACTTAGTTTTAATAAGACTTACTACGTCATAATCCAGTTTGAATATTTTTCTAAAGTGAGCAGGAATTTTCACAAAGTACCATAGCAAAAAGAATAGAAATTTCAAACGCATCCTCTCCAATAAGATAAAGAGGCCACTATTTTAGGAGCTCATAATGGACTGCATTGTGTCCCCCCAAAACAGGTGTCAACTTGGCTGGGCCATGATTCTCTATGGTTTGACAGTTATGTAATGATGTAATCTGGCAGTGATATAATGATGCAATCATCCCCATGATGTGATCTCATGTGATCAACCAATAAGCTGTAAGGGGATTAGGGTGGGATGCTACACCCTTACTCAGGTCACAGCCCTGATTTGATGTAAGGGGAATTACCCTGTGCTCTGGCCTGCACCACCTTTTATCTTATGAAAGATAATAGGATAGAGAAGTGATCAGAGAGAGTGGGACCTGACTACCACCAAAAAAGAAAAGCTGAGAGTGCAGCATGTCATTTTGATTCAATGTCCCTGAGCTGAGAACCTCCCAGATCTAGAGGAAGACTGATGCAAGACACATGGAGATATCCAAGGAATGCTGTGCCTACAGATGCTAAAAGGAGATAAGGACCTTCCTCCAGAACTGACAGAGAAAGCCTTCCCCTTGAGCCAGCACTCTGAATTTAGACTTCTAACCTTCTAAACTGCGAAAGAATAAATTTCTGTTTGTCAAAGCCATTTCTTGGCACTTCTGTTATAGCAGCACTAGATAACTAAGACAAAGTTCCTAAGACATATGGTAAGGTTTGATGCCACTGAACTAGAATGAAGTGCTTATTCTCTTTCTCTCGCTCTCATTATTTCCCAACCTTTCTTTTATTGTCTGGATAAAATGGCCACTGAGAAGAAATCTTTAATAAATTCAAATTTCTTAAATTTATTTTTAATAAATTTAAATTTCTTAAATTTATTTTTAATAAATTTGTCATTAAAAAAAGCTTTCTAAAGTGTCATATAACACTGAAACAGAAGACAAGATACACTCACAAAACACTACATCTATATTAATTTAGTTTTCTTTTTAATTAATATGCTATTAGGATACATGAATCCTAATCTACAGAAGTATGACCATGCAGGAATAGCTAAGACATTCATTTTAACAGAATGGTTACTGCAAAAAGCAAACCTCATTGATACTGACTCATGTAAAGTCTTGAGTTTTGAAAGATTATTTACAAACCTTACAATTTTCCAATTCTATAAATGTTTATAAAAGAAACCAAAAGTATACATACATTTTTAAACACACACACACACACACACACACACATACCCCTCCCCAAAAAAAGTACTTAGCAAGGCAGTAAGCAGGGAGAAAACTCATATTTTATTATTCCAACACCTAGGATTTGTAACTAATCAATCAAGGAAGCCAGCAAGGCAAGGAAGAAGCCTCAGGTCTAATTTTCACATCCTGATTTATTTTAGGGTCCCCTGAAAATTTCCTGAAATGAGCTCATAGACTACAGATTATAAAATATTTATATAGCCACACTTTCTGTTTTATTTGTTCAATTTCAATTTACATGTTTTTATTGTACAGATGCACTGTCCAAATCACTACAGACCCCATTACACTTCACTATCCCATACCTGGATACTTCAAACATTTTCATTAATTAACTAACTACTGTCTACCCAAAAAGGACAAAGCTATGGAAAAGGACCCAAACTACCATAGCATAAAAGGTAAAGAGCTCAACAAATTCTAAAAGTAGTAACTGCAAAGGACCCTTCCTGACTGCAATCAAAATTTTCCAAAAGTAGAGTATTACCCTATAGATTCCCTGATCCAGGCATTCATCCAGGATTTACTTGTTTGTCTGAGTCTTACTTGAACTGTCCCTCTGCACCTCTGCTCACCATCTGAGTTGTCATCATGACTAATCCTCATAACCCAACTGGATGATTATACTCCTATGTCTACCCAATAGCTGTGGAAATGCTCAGTGCTCATCCAATACCCTGTATAAACTAATCAAAATACAGCTCCTACTCCCAGCGACTGGTACACCATCCGATCTGCAGCCTGTATAACTATGAAACCAGAAGAACTAGATGGTGCTCGGCTATCACTGTCATCCGCTTGGAAGAGGATCTATGTAGGAGATCCTGGATAGAGAAGGAGAACAATGTGGAACAAAATTCAAAATCATTTGGATGAAAAAAAAAGAGGTAGGGACCAGGTTTGCTGGTCCAATAGAACCTGGTGGAACCACTGAGACTATGGCCTCTAGCTGCCCTTCAGGTCTGGAATTGAACCCACACCTGTGGGTTCCAGTCAAACAAAGTACAGGCATATGAGTTAAACATTTACCTCAAGTAGATACACGCCTTGGAGGGAACAATCATGGGAGAAGGAAGGGCTGCTTATGCACAGGGAGACAGCTTAGGGGGCAGGAGAGTATGGAGGGATGGATACTGGGAAGAGGTAACTATGGTGAGGAAGTGGGAGGGGAGCTGTTGCACTGTGGTAAACTGTGGTCAATGGCATGAGACAAAGTATATGTGAACTGCTGTATGGAAAGTGAATTTGCTCTGTAAATCTTTACCTAAATCATAATAAAAAAATTAAAAAAAAAAAAATACAGCTCCTCAGAATCAGAAACTAGAACAAAAACACACATTTTTCAAAAATGCCACTGCTATAAGGTCCATTTAATCTTAATATCCCTCAAGTTTCACTCAACAAATGTCCTTTATCAGATTTTCTATTTCCTGCTTTCCTTGGCTATAAGAGACATGGGATAAGATAAAAAGCCCAATTAATACACTTTTCTAAATATGACATTGAAGATTATGTAATAAACAAAGGGACATAATAAGAAGAAGCTCAGATATTACCATAAAACCATCACAAATGTACAGTAAAAATTACTGAGTAAATATTCACTTATCCAAGTATGTGAAGAGCTTAAAAATCAACTAAACCAGAAGCTATTCTCAACTTTTTGGTCTCAGGATGCCTTAACACCTTTATTGAAAACCCATTAGGGAATGAATTAAAAAATAATAATAACTCACTGCTGTCGAGTTGGATCTGACTCATAGCGACCCCTCCTTGGGTTTCCGAGGTAGTATCTCCGCAGAAGTAGATTGCCCCATCTTCCTTCCAAGGTGGGTTTGAACCACCAATCTTCTGGTTAGCAGTCAAATGCCTTAAGCACTAAGCCACCAGAGCTCCTAGGGATTGAATTGTGTCCCCCAAAATATATGTAGAAATCCTAACCCCTGTAATTTGTAAATATGACCCTGTTTGGAAATAGGATTTTCTTTTGTTATGTTACTAAAGTTAACCAGAGTAGAGCAGGTACTAAACCTAATCACTTCTGAGTATAAAAAAGAGAAGAACAGAACAGAGACATGCACAAGGGGAGGAAGAAGACAGACAACAAAGACAGATGTACCTACAAGCATTAGCTCAGGAACACGAAGGATTCCTGGCAGCTACTAGAAGTTGAAATAGACACACCCTAAATTTGGACTTCTAGCCTCCTGAACTGTGAGAAAAACAATTTATGTTCTTTAATGCCCCAACCTGTAGCCTTTCTGTTAGGGCGGCACTAAGTAACTAAGACAGCCCCAAAGGTTCACGTTTCTGTGGGTTACATTTAGAGCTACCATAATAGATATTCAAGCAGAAAAGTTTAAATATTCATTAATTTTAAAAATAACAATAATAAACTCATTATGTTAATATAAAGAACATTTTTTAAAATATAATTTTCACACAAAAAAATTAATGACCAGATTAGTACTGTTTTACATTTTTGCAAATATTTTTAATATCTCTACATCTGACATAAAAAATAGCTGGATTCTTAAAACTATTTCTATATTCATATGCTGTACTGTAATCTCTAGAAAACTTTGTTTTTATTCATGAGAAAAGACTGAACAAAATAACTATGTTTTTGTTTTATGAATATAATGAGCCCTGGTGGCATAATGATTAAGCATTCAGAAGCTAACACCTGAATTGGCAATTCGAACCCACCCACCTGCGCCACAGGAGAAAGCCCTGGCAATCTGCCCTCATAAATATTACAACCTAAAAAACCCTATGTAGTAGTTCTATGTGATCACAAGTCACATAGGGTTGCTATGAGTCAAAATTGACTGGCAGCCCCTAACAACAACATTATGAAAATATTTAGCCTTACAGACCCCCTGAAAAAGTTTTAAGGGGTCATTAAAACACATTGAAAACCATTGATTGCTTAACCTAAAACAATGACCCCTAGAGGGAAAATTACACAGTTAAAAATAATGTTAAACGATGGCACAATGATGTAGATGTTGAAGGTAGGATAATGATTTTATATAGGGAGAAATAGAGCAAGGTTACTCAAACACAATTTCAGAATCTCATATAAAATATGCTGATATTTTAGTGCTTTAAAATACTTTGAATTATGCTTATTTTATGTATTAGATCTCATTACAATAATCTTAACCTATTGTCCAAATGTCTGATTAGCTTTAATACTGATAAAACTCATTGCCTGATATTGCTTACTCTTGAAGTTTAAGCCAGTGATCCAGCTAAAGACTTTAAAATAAATTTTAATTTCATTTATAATACATACCTGCTGCAGGACATAACAAAGGCATAAGAAGGATTCTGAACATGTTCATCACCTCTGGGTTTAAATAAACCTACCTCTTCTGCTGCTGCTTCTGAAAGCAGACCTTCCTTCTGGGCACAGGTCACATGAAAATAGGCTCTGCACATCCCTGCATCACAGCTAATGCAAACTCCAGTTCTAGCAAAACGAGGGTCTTCACAAAAGCTACACTCCTACAACAGAGTAACAAGAAAACTCATCAGAGCAAAAATACTTCCACTACTCTCATACAAGGCATACAGAAAATATTATGATGGGGCATTTACTAGTAATCTTTTCTATTTGAAGTGCTAAAGAAATGTTCCTGAAGCAAAAGATGAAGAAGAGTCAGGAATAGATGGAAAATATGGAATACGTAAAGGAGCGCTGGTGGCAAAGTGCTTAAAGTATTTGGTTGCTAATCAAAAGGTTGGCAGTTTGAACCCACCAGCCACTCCAAAGGAGAAAGATGAGGCAGTCTGCTTCCATAAAGATTTACAACCTTCAAAACCCTATGAAGCATTTCTACTCTGTCCTAAAAGGTCACTATGAGTCAGAAATGACTCAATGGCAGTGGGTTTATGAGATGTGTAGCTAAGTATCTCCATGAACAACTACTTCCTATGCCATAAGACCAGAACTGGTCTTAATGATGTCTGACTACAATTACTGAACATATGAAACAAAGATTCTACAGAAGAATTCTAATCAAAAGGGAAAAATGCAGAATAGAGTTTCAAATTCTTATGGATTCCAAATTTTCTGGAGCCATGGGGGCTGGAAGATACTATTGCTCTGAGATAAACTTTACTCCTTAAATCAAACATATTCTCTTAAATCTTCTTAAAATTAATAATAGTTTAGCTTAATTGGTATAAAATGTCTGCCTTAAGCATTATGCTCTTTTAAGAACTATCTATATGGGATCAAAGTGACAATAGCAACTCAAAAGATTAGACATGAAGCTAGAAGGCAGTGAATTTATATTAATTAGAGAGAATAACTCAGAAAAGGAGGTAAGACTGGTTACACAACTCAAAGAATATAATCAATGTCACTGAATTGTACTTGTAGAAATGGCCAAATTGGTATATGCTATGTTTGTGTATATTCTCAACAACAAAATAAATTTTAAAAATAAATAAAGTGCTAAATAAGTACCAATAGTGAACTAATAGTGTACCGATGCAAACAAGTCATAGTTTATATGAAAAAAAGGTAATGTCTCTATACTATTCTAATAAGTCAATGTCACTGATATGATAATAATAATATTAAGTATTATGGAGTACTTACAATGTGCCAGCCACTTCTCTAAGCACTTTACATGCATTATTATCTATGTAATAATTTAATACTCACACCTATGTGGAAGGTCCTATAATTATCCTCATTTTAAGGTGAGAAAACTAAAGTGAAGTCAGGTTAAATAACCTGCTCAAAATAAAACAGAAAGTAACTTGCAGTCAGGATTCAATTCCTACAAATCTTACTTCAAAACCTATGCTGTTAACCATAAAGCTATACTGGCTCTTGAGCACTATAAAACTGTTTAGAAAATAAATAACAAGCTAAAGAAAACTCACCAAAATATCTAGGCATTGCGGTCAAACAAATCATCATATTTTATTTTTAAAATCTCTTTAAGAAACTGAAAGCAATCTTAACTAAACAATGTGGTGGAATCAGTAGTGGAACACAATAGCCAATTACATACATTCTTTTTTTAAAAAAAGGGAATAAATAAATAACAATCCAAAGTATAAACTGCTGATATTAAAATCTATCCTGAAAAGTGATTTTTTATATCATTTTAATTATCGTAAAAGAAAAATACAATGTCTCAAAATATAAACTGCTCTGGCAATAGGAATCTTCATAAAAGGAAAGACTTAAATTCTGAAGACTGCCATTGGTTAATAACGGGAAGAACTTTTGGTAAATATGTTCTAAGTAAAAAAATACTACAAGGGAAGTATATTAGGAAGAAAATTTAAAAAGGTTTAATACATTAAAAATATAGTTTTTATATTACATTTAAGTGACTACCTAACCGGGTAGACAGCAGCAGCCTAGACGTCAGCAATAAATGGAAACAGCAAGAACAGGACTCTGGGTACAGATGTGAAAAGGCTCCCAAACCAGGGGTGGGAGGGGAAGGGAAGGAACACTGCAAAAATAAAATGAAATAAATAAAAAGAAAAGGCTCGCAAATCCTGATACCCCACTCTCTAGCTAAGGGTCTTTTTCCAATAGGGTAAATGTGTTTGGTATAAAATATCAACAAATAGCAAAATAAACACAATCAAAAGAGAGAGAGAGACTGAATAATACAGAGAAACAGAAAGAGGGTGAGAGAAAGGGAGAGAAATCAAATTATTTTAAGGAAGTCAACACCATGAAAGAGACAAATTTTTTTGGATAGTTCCCTGAGTGGGCAATTTAATGTAATATGATGAAATTGAACAAGGGATTTCAAAGTGAATATAAGGAAACATTTCCTGACAATAAAGTCTATTAGACTATAGAATAATCTATCAAAGAAAATAGAATCTTCCTTGTTGTCTGAAAGCATTTAAAATGCTAGTGAACTGAGCAATGGGGGGAGTAAACAGTCAGAATTGGGAAATGTGTAGGAAATGTGATCTGTAACAGCTGTTCCAGCTACAATTAACAACACTGTTTGGTTTCTCCGGAAGGAAGACTGGGCAATCTACTTCCATAGAGATGCCGCATCGGAAACCCAAGAAGGGGTCACTATGAGTCAGATTTGACTCAACGGTAGTGAGAGTTTGGTTTCTCAGATGATCTAGAGACTGTATAATTTTCAACTCCATTTCTCAATACTACTTCAAAACAAAAGCAGGTAATAATGAAAAAATGAGCTGACAATTGCACATTTAATGACTTTTTTAGTTCATTGCTGCCTTCATTTATATGAAGCAACATCTGATCTGTTTTTTTAATTGTTTCTTGACTTATATTTATGGCAATAATATGTGCCTATTATAAATGATGTACATTAATCCCTCCTAGATTCTGTGTAGGTGAATTACAAAGCTGCTATTAAAAAAAAAAAAAAAGAAAGAAAGAAAAGTAGGAACCTCCAATAATACTAGACAAGGTAATTTGTAACAATGACCCTCAACTACAAAATTTGGGTAATTTTTCTTTCTTTCTTTTTTTTTTTTTGTAACTACTACTTAAAGCCATCAGAGAGGTAACAAGTTAATGGAGAATTACCTGAACATCAGGAAGATAAATTCAGTGTTGGGCCTGCTTCTGCCTTGGAAGCTTTAGCTGAGAGGCTGAATGATACTCCTGACAGTAGATATAAGAAATGGAATTTAGAACCCACAAAGGTGAGTAAGGATGGACAAGTAAACCCATGCTTTGGGTCCAGACTACAAAGGTCTGGAAAACAAGAGTAAGGTAAATCAGAATTAGAGAGATCTTCACAGGGACTACAAGTCACCTTCTATTTATCTGTAACTATAGACTGCTCGAGCTGCCAAAAATCCCACAATAACAAATGTAAATCAACTGGTAGGGAAAGGGGTGGGGAGTGGGGGAATCATCCTACGTAGGCCTCAAATTATTTCTAAAACTAAAAAAGGCACACAAGAAGACAAGATAACATGAATAATAATCAGTAGAAAAACACCACACAACATTTGAAAATAGTGTTATCAGGTATGTTAAAACAACTAATGTGAACTATGTTAAGGAAATCATAGGAAAAATATTTAGAATTTAACAGAAACTTGAAATCATAACATAAAATTAAATGGAAATTCTATAGAGAGGAAATACAGTAACTAAAATTAAGAATTAATAGAAAAGTTTAACTTTAACAGCACATTAAACAATGCTGGAAACAAATGGTAAACTAAATACAGATTAGAAGAAAATATCTGGAATGAAGTACAGAGAACACAGAAAATACATAAAAGTAGGAAGCAGAGGACACAGAGTGAAAAAATCTAACATATATGCAATTGGAGGACCCCAAAATAAAACAAAACAGGCAGAAACAGTAATTGAAACACCACTGGCTAAGAATTTTCCAAAACTGATGAAAAACATCAAGCCAAAGTTTAAGAAGCAAATGAGTCTAAAGGAAATTTAAAGGAAAAAAAACTAACTGAAAATAAGTTGTTGTTGCTATTGTTAGCTGCCATCAAGTCGATTCTGAATCACAGTGACCCCAGTGCAGTGTAAAGCTGCTCTGTAAACGTTTAAGACTGTGACCTTTCAGAATGGATCACCAGGCCTGTCTTCCAGGTGCTCTGGGTAGTTTGAACCACCAACCTGAAGATATGTAGTCAAGCACTTCAACATTTATGTCATACAGGAAATGAAAATAAGTAAAAGTGATGAAAAAGAAAAATAAGGGTGAAACAAAAGACTTTTTAAATAACTGAAAATTAGAAATGTATATCATTAGCATACCTTAACTAAAGGTATGTGAAGTGAAGAATGTTTTCCTGGTGAGTATCAATGAACACTGCTGTGTGAAATGGTAATAATCATAAACTAAAAACACAGAAACAACTGTATATAAGTCAAAAGGTATGATAAATGGAATCAGGCTGTTCTAAAGTCCTTGCACTCTCTAAGAATCAATACTGATAATTGACTACAAAAAAATCAAGGATTCTCCAGGTACAGAAATTAGTTTCTATTTGCCTGAAGCAACAAAGGAAGAAGGAAAGTCAGGAAAGGAGGAGGAAATGAAATGTGTGGCTAATTACCTCCAAGAAAAACTGCATCTTCTGTCAGGAGACCAGAAGTACTGGATGGTACCGGGCTACCATTACTGAACATTTTGATGAAAGAGTCTATAGAAGAATAATGACCAAAAAGGGAGCAATGCAGAACAGAATTTCAAATCTCATGGACTCAAGACTTTCTCGACCATGGAGTCTGGATAAACCCATGAAACTATTACACTAAGATAATCTTTAAACCTTAAATCAAAAATATCCTCTGAAGTCTTCTTAAAACCAAACAAAAGTTTAGCTTACCTAGTAAAGAATGTCTGTCTCAAGTATTGGGCTCTTCTAAGGTTTATCTATATGGGATCCAACTGACAACAGCAACTTGAAAGATTAGATAGGAAATTAGAGGATGGTAGGTTTATGTTAATGGGGGAGGAACAACTGGGAAAAGGAGGATGAGAATGGATGTAACTCAAAGAATGTAATCAATGTCACTGAATGTAATCAGTGTTGAATTGGTATATGTTATGCTGTCTTTATTCTCAATAACAACAAAAATAAAATAAATTATATATACATATATATACATATATA